TAACGACGCTTATAGTCCGTAGCTTGCAGATATATTAGAATGTGTCCTTAAATTCCAGCCAAACCCATTTCCACAGTAACAGATAAAAACCTTTAGATAAACCAAACATTACCGCCACATATCTGACTCTATAACCATTAAAACAACTATTTTTCATTAATCTCAGACGGAACTATTCACTGACTGGATTATTTTAAACTGAACTTCCAATTTTCACCACTGGTCGGCGCCAAGTAACCTTTCCTCTGATCACAGCTTGCTTGGTCTCGCAATGAATCCTGGGATATCCAAGAATACCGAGGATACATCGGACCCGTCCTTCAAATCGGGCAAAAAGAAGGACGCATTTTAAGGCCGCATAACGAGGATTCTTGGAATCCGACCAGACCTCGGCGCCGCGCTATGACGTAATCGGCCTTCGAATCCGGTTTTCTAAGGATGCGTCCTAGGTTTTTGAACAGAGTCTAGATGAGCAGCGCCTCTCCTGGAATGTGGACGAGCGTTAATGGCCGGATGGGCGGGGTTAAAAGCTAATGTCAGCACCCAGCTGTCAGTCAAGCTGAGACTGGCCAATAGGAACACAGCCCCGCCCACCATGCAGTTCACATCGAGAGAAAATCCCTTTATTTATTTTATGATCAAATATTTTCTCAGTCTCAGAGAAGATTAGTTTCTGCCCGATATGAATGTTTTTCTCCAATATGTTTATTTGACTTATTTTCAGATTTTTTTTCTTGATTTTAATGAGAACCTAACAGTAAGTCCATGCTGTGGGATCTGAGGAAACGTCCACATTGTGGATTGACCTCCTGTGGATGATGGTTAAGGTCCAGAAAGGGAAAGCTGAAGTGTCCAGAAGCAGGAATGATGAGGAAAATGTCAGCATAATAATCCGGCCTGCCGCTGGGCTCATGGTACCAATAAGACCACTGGGTCCGTCCTCCCTGTTGGACATGTCTGTGTTGGTGTTTCAGTGTGCCAGGAGACGGTGTGGGAGGCCTTCAAGATCTTCTGGGACCAGCTCCCTGACCGGGACCAGTACCAGGCCTGGGTGACCCGCTGCATCGACGGGTCCGTCAGTATCAGGGATATTGGCAGCTTCTTCAGCCAATCAGAGGAGCATAAAAGCCTCATCAGGAGTGTAGGTTCCCTCCCCTCTGTCTGGATCAATGATGATGTCAGAAATGCTGTTTTGCTGATCATGTTCTGATTTATTTCAGAGAGTTGCGCTGACTGCTGCGATGAACAGGTCAGTAAATATTGCTGGAACCAAACCCAGATCCCAGAAAGCTCAAAGGTTTCCTGCTGTTTGTTTATTTTTAGTTTGGTCATTTAAAGCAGAATCATTTCTTATGTCCCTGGATTGTCCTCTGGCTACTGGAGGTGGATTATTGTTGGGATTAGTTTGGACCTAATGACGATCAGTGTGGTGTCTGTGTGTTGACCCTGTGCTGTGTTTCATGGTCTGTCACAGTGAGTCCGCCCCTCCAGGCTCTCCGCCACCGTGCAGGTAGGGTTGGACCATCAGCAGCCCCTCATCAGGGGAGGGCCGGGGTCTTTTTAAGCAGGAAGTCCTCCTGTCCTGGTTCTGTTTGGCTAGAAGTTCAGTCCAAAGAAAGACACAAAACAAAGAAATCAGGCAGATGTTTCAATCTGAGTAAAATCATCAGGAGTTTCTGTCTTCAAAGAGAGGCTGGTCTGACAGCCTGGTCCAGGGTTCTCTTAGGTTCTGACCAGTCGGACTGTGGACATAATGACCTGTAACCCAGAGACAGTCTGTCAGCCTCCAGCATAGAAAAGGAGACCATGTGGGTGTGAAACTGAGCCGGGTTGATACAGAACCAGGGTTCTGACCCTGTCTGTGGATCAATGAGGTTCTGGAATCACCTGAGGTTTTAGATTCTTGGTTTAGGAGATCAAAGCAACCCTAACCCATCCTGCCTAAAGCCACAATCTGCTGAGGAACCTCAGAATAGTCTTCATCATTGCTGATCGACCAATGAGTGATGAACCCAAGCTGACCTATGCAGATTAGACAGCCAATCAAAATCATTCTTCTAAAGCAGGTCTAGACTCAGGGAGAGATATGAGAACCGCCTCCTATCTGAGCTTGATTAGAGCCAAATTCTGACGAAGAACCTGAACCAGCAGACTGACCTGAAGGCCTTTAACCGCGCAGTAGAAACAGGAGAGGAGGACGTTCTGAACTTCAGCCCGCTCAGAGAACCGCTTCCCTGCTGCTGCTCCCTCTAATCCACCAGAAGAAAGATGCTTTCTGCCTTTTAGGTCCAAAGCTTTGCTTCACAACCATTGGCTTTGCAAACATGGCCGGCCCCCATAAAACTGAGGGACGGAGACGACAAGATGAGTGTTTGACTCCTGTTTCAGAGACGGGGCCTGTAGATTATTAATAGTTTGATGTTTGCTGAGCTTAAAACAAAATGTTGGAGTTTAAAATAAATAAATAAAACTTTCCTTTATCAGCCAGTATTGTTTGAGGGTTCAATGTCCTTTGTCCCTTAGACTCCTCGTTTCTCAAACTCCTTTGTCCCTTAGACTCCTC